TAATTAAATCTTCCGGTGATGGATGGATTGCAGTTAGCAATGAAACTACATACAACAATATGAACAAAGCAATGTTTAATTTCAATAAATCCTTATTCATGTCATCGCATAAATCCTTTTATAACGACATTGATATTAAAATATTAAATGAAACAAGAAGTATAGCACCTTCGGGGTTATTATTGAGTAATATCAATTTAGTTTATAAAACAGAAATAGATGTAAATAAAGCATTTACTAAAGGTTTTTTAAATATTAGGGAAATACCAGTATTTAACCAGTTTGACCATTGGAAAAAATACAACGATGAAATTAAAATAGATGAACTCCATGAATTAACTTTATATTATGTTGAAACTATAGATACAAATGTAAGACCATTAAAAACAACAATGGACAGCATTAAGGAACTAATAGAGAAAAATCAACACACCAAGCAGATGATATATTCTATTGCATATAGTAAAGGTATTGACGTTGCTACTTATATAGAATTTCGTAAAACACATGATTTAAGTTTGTTTTTAAATCCTGATGAATTAAAACAAGCAATTAGAAACATTGTAATAAGTGGTAATCACAACTTATTTTTCAACAAAAAATATAATCTAGTATATGGCAAGTTTTTGAAGGAATTCATCAATGAGAATAAGACACACAAAATCAATATTTTATATTATAAACAACCTTCATTTATTCATAAGGTTGAATATACAAGTATTATTAATGAACTTTTACAAACAAGTATAGATGAACATGACGAAGCATTAGATAAACTAATTAAAAAGTTAATAGCAAATGTAAATTTTGGATTATTAGAAAAAGGAGGCGCTACAGCACATCAAAGTATTTTATTTAAAAGTATTGATGAAGCAGTCCATTATCAAACAGAATACGGAGGTAAAATTAATAAGTTATCGCATATTATAAGCGAATATCCCGAAATGATAACCGAATATGACGACGAAGGAGGCGCAACTACAACATATTATGGATTTGATGAGGATGAATGGGATGTAAAGGCATCATATTATATATTGAATTTGAAGGATAAGGCAGTATTAAGAAACGGATATCGATATATTAAAGAATTACTTTTACAACATCACAATTTTAAAATGAACCAAGACTTTAAGACACTAATAACTAATAATATTAATATATATAGTGTAAAAACAGATGCTTTTGTAATTGATACATGCAATGAAGAAAAAACAAAGCAATTATTAGAATTTCATGATGATATAGGAGGTTGGAAAGTTTCAAAGCAGAGAGATGAAATTAATTTACCTACAGTAAAATTTAACGTTGTAAATAATGAATTAATAAAAATACCAGTTTATGAAAGTAAAACTATTGATATTAAAGATGAATACGACACTGATAACATTATAGAGATTGTTAAACAGAATAATCCTATTATGATCAGAGGTGAACTACCGGGCACAGGAAAATCATATATATGTCAAAAAATGGTTGATAAAAATTATAAGGTAATTTTTATTTGTCCTACTAATAAACTATTACAGGCATTTGAAGGAGAAGCAATGACGATAAATAAATTCTTTGGTATTAATTATGGAGATGCTAAATTAGAACCATTTGATTTTACAGAATTTGATGTAATAGTATTTGATGAAATCTATTTTAGTAATTTAAATATATACTGGAGAATAAAACAATTTGTAGAACAGAATAAGCACAACAAAATTATAATAGCAACAGGAGACACCAAGCAATTAAAACCAGTGCAAGAAATAACAAATACTCAAGACTATGAATTATACACTGACAATATTATAGATAATATTTTTACACATAATATAATATTGAAAGAATGTAAGAGACTTAACACACAGGAAGATAAGGATAAACTCAAGAATATAAAATATGATATTTTTATTAATAAATTACCAATTAAAACTATTATTGAAAAATATTTTGAATACACCACAGACATAAGTAGTTCCAAAAACAACATAGCATTTTTAAATACAACTTGTAAAAATGTATCAAATGAAATTAGAAAATTAGAAAATAGAAAAGATGAATATGAAGTAGGAGAATTTTTAATTTGTAGAGAATATTCTAAAACTAAAACATCAGTTTTTAATGTAAATTTCAAATATAAAATAGTTCATATTGGAAGTGATGGAATATTTACATTAAAAAATGTAAAAACCGAAATGTTACAATCCGTAGAAATTGCTAAAATAAGAAGCAATTTTATATTTTCTTCTTGCTCTACATGTCATTCTACTCAAGGTAGTAGCATTGATGACACCATAACAATCTTTGATTATAATCATTTTTTGGTAAAGAATTATCCAGAATGGATTTTTACAGCGGTAACACGTGCTCGTGATTTAAACAAAGTCAAATTTTATAAATATACAAAGGATGTTGATGATGTATTTAATCAAAAATGTATTATGAGTTATTTTGAAAGGAAAATTTTGAATTATAAGGAACAAGACAGGAAAGCAAAAAGAAGCATACCTAGAGAAGGTTATGTAAATACTCAATGGTTTCTAGATAATATAAATAATCAATGTAATTACTGCGGATGTGGTTTTACTATTGATATGAAAAATGGTAATATCATTACAAATCTAACAGCACAACGAAAAGATAATGAATTAACTCATACAATAGAAAATATCATCCCATTTTGTAAATTATGTAATTGTAGTTGTAAATGATTATAATTTTTAATTTAATTATGATAATATAATTTTAATTTTAATTTATTAATTTAATTTTAATTTAAAATTAAATTTCTTGTAAAAAGTATTTAAAGAAATATTACCTATATATATTATATAGCGAGATGATCAAAACCAAAATCAATAGTTATATCAATAAAAAATGCTATGATTGTTGCCACTTCAAAAAGGAAAATATAGAATTGTATAAACTGAATTTACATAACGGAATAGTAAATAATATTATTGATTATGCATTGGGCGAAGAAGATGTATGTAGAACTTGTAGAAGATGGCGACGATATCAAAATATAATAGAAAATATTTTGGAGATTAAAAAAATAGATAAAAGAAATGTTGAAGATGACATTTTAATATTTTTAACTGTGTACGGAAGACCACCTTATAGTTATGTTAGAATATTTCTAAAAATCAGTAAGAAAAAATATAAAATGATTGAAGGTATATTATGGATGTTGACCTATTATAGTAGGGAAGGTTTTGATGTAAAAGAAGACATTAAAACATATATTGAAAGTAAAAAGTTTAATGTTAAAAATACAGTGAGAGATATTAATATTATTTTAAAAATAATGCATGAAAGACATAAGTTATATATACAACTTAGTAGTCATCAATTAAATTATTATCCTGAACTTAAATTATGAAATTTTATCTACATAACCTAATTTAATTTTAATTTATTAATTTAATTTTAATTTAAAATTAAAATTCTTGTAAAAGTATTTAAAGAAATATTTTATAATACTATTATATAGTGTGATGAGTGATACAGTCCATGATGCTAAAAATATATTGAAAAAAGTTTATGAGTTATAAATGTGAAGACTGCGAAATGCTAAAATTACCAATTGAACAGGGTTTTACAAATGGCGTTTGTAATTATATTTGTCAATATATGATATGCAATAATTGCAATAGAATTATAAACAAAATTGATGATATGAATAACAAAGATATTGATATTAGAAATAATGAAACTATTGATGATGATTTAGAAATATTTGTGTTTATTGAAATGAATAATTTCTTAACTATAGAAGGGTTTGATAATTTATTATATGAGGGCGATGATGAAGGAAACGCTAATGACTTTATTTTTAAGTATTATAGCATGGTAAAAAGATTATACAATATGTCTTCTAGCATTAAACGTTTAAAATATGAAACATTGAATGATAATGACCTTGATTTTTTACATGAGGTTTTAAATGATCGGTATAAAACTCACGAACTTAGATATACAATAACACGTGCAATTGGAATAATGGGAATGTTTAGAAAACAAATAAGAAGTAATATTTATAATGAAACAACGTGTGATAAAATAATAGAAAGAATTAAGAAAGAATGGTGCCCGTAAAAAACGAATGAACCAGACCTTGCCCATAATATGTCTACAAAATTTGTGATAGTATTTATTGTATAATAATTTATCATAATTTTTGGAATAATATTTTTTTTAAATTTATTTTTATTTTTTTTGTAAAATTTATTTTTTAAAATTTATTTTGCATTTTTTTGTAAAATTTATTTTTTTAAAATTTATTTTTTAAAATTTATTTTTTAAAATTTATTTTTTAAAATTTATATTTTTTTTGAAACTTTATTTTTTAAAATTTCTTTTTTAAAATTTGTTTTTTAAAATTTATTTTTTTTAAAATTTATTTTTTAAAATTTCTTTTTTAAAATTTCTTTTTTAAAATTTTGTAAAATTTATTTTTTAAAATATGGATGAACTTACTAGGAAATTACCTGCTTTAAAATGTTAATTTTTGAAAATGTGCTTTTTGAGGTGCTGTTTTAAAATGTTGCTAAAAGTGTGGGGAGGACCCTAGGTTTTTTTATAGAAAAAAGATGGGCAAGGTCTAGTCTAACTTTATCAACATTCAGGTCTTCAGATTCATGCCAAGTGGTGTGAAGTGGATTTCGCTCACAGTGGATGAACCTAGGCATCCGGATGGTTTTCTTCGTGGTTGTTACTCCGCGGCAGGAACTTGAATAATTGGGGACCTGGATGTTGGAGGTACTGTTGAACTTCTCAAGGATGCACGGCGAAATGCCGCCATGCTTAAACCCTCGGTTTCGAATCGAACCATTCCTTGGGGTTTCATTCATGGCAGCTACGACCGTTGCCCATTTCTCCACCCAGAGGCTCCTGGACCTTTCAATGGAAGACCCCTCCATTCACATCGGAGGTGTTTGGGGTTCTTGAAACCTGGCTGTTGGATCGGGAGCCTCTGGGGAAGTTTCGGTCACCCCGTGCTTGCTCGCCTACGTAGGCCTCAAAGCTGCTGGTCACCGAGGGGATCAGGTTTCGCGCTTCAATCATCTCCTCGGAGCTCAACGAGTGCCGCCGGGCGGCACCGGTGTGTTCAGAGGGCTCTTTGTACTCACTTGCCCCCGCGGACCCAGAAACTTTTGGGCCCATGACTAAGAATGGACCAAAATTGGAAAACCAAAAGGTCAAAAGCTCGGCTTTGGACAACTGCTTCCCCTCTGCTTCCCCTTGCCCCACCCCAAAGGAAACTCACTTCAAATTGGCCGGCAGGCTGATGTTTGAGCCTGGGAAAACGTAGGGACCTTTGCCCAAGGAAGCGCAAAGGGCCATGCCCAGGCCAAGTCTCAATCTCCAAGTGGGCAAATGCGCTGAGGCTGTAATAGGCTTGCTCAGGATGATCCAAGCATCGCAATCTGTTGGTCTCGAAGTCCTAGCGGAAGCATATGCACCCAGAGGTTGACCCTTCATGGGGGGAAGCCACCGAAGAAATGAGAGAAGTTCTCATGGAATCTCTTTTTGGTCATCCAAAGGCTAAGCACACGCAAGGATGCATAGTGGAAAGCCAGCTTTGCGTGGCTCAACATCTCCTCGCCCTTGGTGATCTCGTCAATGATCTTCTGAGTCTCCTTAAGGCATGGGGCCAGCGATGCTTGCTACACATGTTGCGCTCGATGATTCAAAGTCCCACATCTTGGGGGCCATAAGTCAAGCGCAACCTGCCGGCGCTGTCCTTGTTCCCCGACGTTGATAGCAAAGGCTGCGAGGCTTGCACAAGCACGGGGGGAGCCTTCTTGTCGCCTTCCTGGCAAAGTTGCGCAAGTCTTTTGATGTTCGGCATGGCATCCGTTGTTTGTATCATCCCGTGATCGTTCCTTTGGCAGTTGTTGTGCAGGTGCACGTGACTTGATGATGTCCACGTTTTGCTGGCATTGTTCTTCCTTGCCACTTGTAATGGACAAGAACGCGCCACTTCCAACACTGCGCTCTGCATCGGCGCCCCTACTACATGGCATGCATCCCATCTGAGCGCTACCCGTGGAGTGCGAACAATTTTCCATGTTAAGAGCTTTCAACCCCCCAAACTTGCCAGAGTGCATGGGTTAGCTTGGGGCTTCGCACGCCTCCATCAGCCGTGCAGTCTCTGACGGCGTAGCGTCGCCCTTCAGAGGTTCATTCACCACTGCCTCGACAGCCCGAGCGGCCTTGTCCTGGACGCAAGAGAGGCGCGATCCGTCTACGTCCACTCAAAAATGCCACAAGTCACCTTTCACTTTTCACATCACAAGGTGCCATGGACGCCGTCCTTGGAGTTGTTGCCTTAGAAACGAGGCCACGGCGAATTTCCGCAGCTGGAACTGAGGCGCCGACAGCCCATGGCGAAAGATCGCCGCCCACAGGCGTTTGGACGCTTACGGGCGAGAATGGCTCCCGGTAGGCCAGTGAATTACCGGCGCGAGGGTTTTCAGGCATGAGACTCAGACCATTGGTCTGCAAATGCGGTCGTTCCCAAGCCGGATTTGAGAAATACAAGTGAAGGAGTTTGGGTTTGCGCTCGCTTTAGGTGAGCTACCAAGGGCAGATTGGATACAGGTTGTTTGCAAGAACATGGACAAGCCAGCGTCGCACTCTCAGCCAGCAGGCCGATGGCCCATATGGGTTTGTTCCAAACAAGGGGCTGTTAAACGATTCTAGTTAACAAGAACAACATGAAAATGAACAACAAAAAACACAGAGAAGGACAACACAACCTCCAACAAAGCCGCCCAATTAGAGGCTGAGCTTACCCTGCAAGCAACCCACCCTCCCCCTCCCCTCCCCGGTTCCGCGGGCGCTTTTGATCCCGTCCCCAGGTGGCTTCGGCTGCCCGTAGCAGATCTGAGAGCTCGGGGGGGCCGCGCTGCAGAGCGTCGTGTCGTGCCCACCTCGGTGCGAAGTGCGGGTCTTCTTTTCGGAGGGAGCCCCCGCTGCCACACATTTTGGGGGCCTTCACGGCTGAGAGGATCAATTCGCGGCCGTTCGAAAACGAAGAACTTGGGGGGCCTCCCCTGCAAAATCAAAACGGACCCAGATGAGTCTGTCCAATAATCCGTGGATGGACGGAACGCAATCCGCTTCGCTCCATAGATGAAACCCCCATGAATACTGGGATAAACCAGCAGGTGCAGACAAGTAGCGAAACCCCAAACTTTGTAACCCGAAGTGGTGCAAAAGGAAAGGACCGATCCGACAGAGTCTGGGGCAACTTCAGTCACGGAATGTGCCAAAAGGCAGCCCCTCCAAATGATCGGCATAGGGGTTCTCTCTTCCAGCTCCCAGTGCTTTCCAAGTGTTTCACAGGATACTCAGCAAGGTAGAAGTACAAACGTATACACAAGTGCTGTTTCAAGTCGTTGTACTCTGGCACGCATCTGCTCATCCGCAGAAACAATCACACATTTCTTCATAGTTCTCACACTTGTCAAGCCACATAACGCATCCACACAAATTGCTACAATCCGACTGACCCCTTCGGTGAGCTCACTCTCATCTTTGGGGGCTGCATGATGACCCTGCTAGAACCAATAGGAGTGTCTTTCCTTTGAGATGCCCACTGATTTCTTATCCAGTGCTTGCGCTGTAACCAAAGAGCACCTTCCCTTCAGACTACTCTTTCATGCTTTGTGGGGTCAAGACTGGTTCAAATGCCAATTTTGGGTTTGTGTTGAAAGGGAGGAGAAACCAGGAATCACCCTTTTCTTCATTTTGAGACACACATGGAACCTTGTTGGATTGAACTAACATCCCTCGGCCCGAGACTAGCAAAACAAGAGATCTCCCAACAATGGCCCAGGTGCAATTCTCCCAATTTGGCTTGCTGATCTCTTTAAGTGGTTCAAACGTATCAATTGTATATAAGACTGTTCAACCCTTGGTATGGTAGCAAACAGCTGTGTTTTTTTGCAGCCCCGACTAAAACTCAAACTGGGGTTCAAATCCCCAAACCACCAATCAACATCACCAATCAAGGCAGAGCCGCAAAATGAACACACAAACCCAAAGCAAACAAGCAACCACAAAACAGCTCACCAAAAAAACGCCAAGAACTGTGCAGAAGGACCTCCCTCCCTCTTTCAGCTTCCCCCCCGCTCCCCCAGCCAAGCCGAGTGGCAGTTGCCACTCGCGTCGCCTGGGCACACGGCGGATCCCCAGGTCCACCGGGCGCCAAACGTGGGATCCTCGCAGCACCCGGCGCCACCTGAGTCGAGTGACTCTCGCCTTCGACCGATCGCGTCGATGGAGTCCGCGTAGGAAGCTTGGCTCACCAGGGCTGAGCTGGGAAAAAATGTGGGGGTTGGGGGGGTTGGGGGGGTTGATGTGGGATTGGAGGTGTTTCGATTATTTTTGTAAAATGTGTTGGATTTGTTGAGTTGATCCGTGCTTTTTGGACTTCGGGATTTTGTTTTTTTCCTCCAGGCTGCCAAAAGTGGTCCACTTGCACAGGTTTAAGCCCAGATTTTAGGCGCACGCGATTTGTGATACCTTGAAAGGCACCAACAGCAAAACCAAAAGGTTGCGGAACAATCGCAAACCCATAGTGTCTGAAGCCAACCCTGTTTCAGCAAGTAAGCAGACTGTGCTCAGTGGGCCCCTCAGGGAATGACCCCGAACAAAGCACTTTCCTAGTTTCATTCCAGGAGATCCCTAGGTTCATCCCATGCTTGCAATACGGGGTTTGAACCAATGTCAAAACAGGTGTTTGGTTTTGTGGCTAAAAGAGGAGTAAAAACACAAACAAAAAACAGGGGTTTAAATTACCAGGGTTTGACAGGGTTCCACACATTTCGCCTGTAAACCATCACCCCACAGGGAAAAGCACTTCAACATAGGGAACCTTGAACTACTCCAAGCTTTCCCACCCCAAAAGGCTGCCTTGAAGAAAAGACCCTCGGCATCGGGATGCGCACACCATCTCTTTCGGCAAGTCGGCCTGAGGAGCACGCCCGGTCCGGTTGGCCAGAAATCGGGGAATCCACCCAGCCATGTCCTGCAAGTTGGTGTTGTGGACCTCGGCCACAAACGACTCGGATAAGCCTCTACATGGGAGCGCCGTCACGGTTGGGATATGTTCCACGTTGCATTTGCGTTACAGGACCCTTTTTTGCGAACAACGCCTTTGTCACGTGACTTCGCTGCTGCCAGCACCCCGTGCTGCCAGCTTCCGAGGGTTGTCAGATTGCTCCAAGAGTCAAATATTGTGACTTAGAGGGGACAGATCCCCAATATTCATCCACAATATGAGTGGAGATCCCCATCTGGGCCCATGACTCAGTGCCATGTCAATGGAGATCTGGGCCCCTGGCCGCGATCCACTTCAGCCCGGGGCAAGACCTGAAGGCGACGCTAGCAGGCCGGGTCCCGAACGAGCAAGGCGCGGACTGAAACAGGGCCGAGAATTCCGGCACGAAGGCCTGGTCGGCAGTGCGGGAGACTCAGTTAAAGCTGCGCCCTTTTTGGAGGGGAACTACTTGTGGGCTGGCTTTTAGGGGAAATCAAGAACAACCCCGGCACTTTTGGTATTTTGGTAGGTCCCCCGAATGCTGACCGACACACACACACACACATCTCAAGTCCAGATTGAGACATTGCGAGGGAACGCTCACAGAAATCAACGGCCAAATGAGTTTGACGAGCGGTGCCTCCAGGGGGTCGATGAAGAGAAACTGGATGCCGCCATCCAGGCAAGGAGCTTGCCTCCATGCGTCCACTCTACAGATTCGCGAGAGAAAACCGGCCGAGTGGCAGGAGCAAGCCGTGGGCCTGGCCGTCCTCAGCTGGATTTCCCGGTGAAAAATGGGTACCCAAAACGGCTTGCCCTGGCAAATGGAAACATGGATCTAACACCTGCAGGTTCCTGGTGGTACAATCTTGACCCATACCCAAATCAAGATCAATTTTACTGGTGGCTTTCATTGAAAAAATCACAAATTGTTGGAGCTTCCAAAAAAAGGATCTGGAGGAAACCCTGTCAGGCAGCCACAAGTTCTCCTGATTTTCCTGTGCCAACTGTGAGGCCGCCCACTCTAAGCTGCCTACTCCTCGGTCCATGGCATGAGGGAAGGCAGGCGCCTAGCCGGCGAGAGTCACCAAACGCAGCGGCTCGCTCGCCCCAGCCTCGGCCACAACCACGGCACGGACCGCTGCGTGCGGATCACCGGATCTCGCCTCGTTCAGCAAAGCTTGCTGGGCAGCTGGGCCCTCCCACGCGGGAGGCGTTACCTGACGCATGGAAGTCATTTTCAGTGGCATGGCCTCAAACGACGATTTGCTAATCCAAACAAACCTGCTCATTGACACGTGGCCATGGGTCAAAATCCTGTACCCCCAGTGAACATCCCTTTCCCCACTAAAAAAACAACTAAAATGGGTGCACCTACCCCAAAATGGGATCCCAAAACGGTTTTGACAACCACAGCCACGTACCAAGCACGCCCTGACGCATGTGGCTTGCACGTCCCGCGCCGAGATGCGAGCACAGAGTCTGCTCCTGCGGCCTGACGCCACCCCAAACGAGTCAAAGCCCCAGCCAGCCTCCACTCGAGGTTGAACCCACACCCCACCCCGCCAAAATCGCATCCTTCCATTTGGGTAAGCTTTCCTGGAAGAAAAATACACATACTTGCACTGCTGGAAAATTGTTTCCCTCTACAACCAAAGAGGGGAACTACAAAAGCACATCCTTTTACGCAACTGGACGGATTGAGAGGTCACCCAACCTCTCCACCTTCCCACCTTCCCGCACGCCAGTGGCGCCTGGAGGTTCCGGGCGGCGGCGGCCGCCCAGTCCCGCTGCGCCTCCCAGGTCCACAGCAGCGCCCGCGCCGTGCGCCCGGGCGTGACCGCCATGCCGTGGGCGATGAGCGCGGCACTGCCGCCTAAATCTGCCCGCAGCGAATGGGGGGAATGTCCGGAGGAAAACGGCGTCTGGGTTTTTGGAGGGTCCCCCCTTCTTTGTGGCTTCAAAAGGAAACCAAGAGGGAACAGCCTACCCAGTTTTAGGGAGTACAAGCTTAAACACTTTGTTGGTGCGATTGGTAGGGAATGAGAAAGGGAATGAACCCAGGCTTTGGTCCCCGAATAAAGGAAACCGCCAGTGGGATGGTTTGTGTTGGGGTCATTCTTCGTTTGGGGGAATTGTCCGGAGGAAAACTCCGGAGTGAGCGAGTCTGTGGCAGGCCTCCCATGTCGCCCTGTAAGCAGACGTCACCGCGACAAAACTTGGCGCCTGTGTGCGCATAGAAGTCCGCAGCGGCATTCACCTACGGCGCGGCCCTCGCCCCGGCTGAAAACAGTATTGAGGCCTTCGATCTCTTCAAGGCACCTGCCGGCGAATCGATTTAGGCAACATGGGAAAGAATGACAGCATGCGGAGCTTGGGGCTCTGACCCAAGTCTCGGCAAGTCGCATTGCCCGCGGCCGCCACGCACCACAGTACCCGCCCCAGGCGCAAAGTCCGTCCCAGCTGGCCCGTGGAGAAGGGCAAAAGAGGGCACGCGCAGATCTCATAGACCTTGGCTGGACAGGCTCAGGGCCTAGTTGCCATGTGGGTGTGGCTAAAATTAAACAGCTAGGGAGAAGCAGGTTCTAGTCGTTGCTTCCATTTGCCAAGGTGCCATTTGGGGTATCATCTTCTGGATTCCCTTGACATCTGTGTCAACACTTGGAATCCCCTCCCCCCCCCTTGCGCAAACCTGGCATCGATATGCATCGATGATTTGCCTTCACTTGGAGCCATTAGCTTTAACGGGAGCGGAGGCCAGATGCCCAGAGGTTCCTGAGGGACCGAGGCCGGGGTGCCTTCAGTCGGTTGACATCTCAAAATTGGGGCGCGTAGTTGTGCCAGCCTCATCTTTTTATCACTGTCCTCACCCCAAGTGGTAGGTGACTTGGCAAACATGAAGCACCCTCTCAGGCAAACATCTGGCCTCAACTTGTTTGTATCTAAGTCAAGTGGTAGGTTCAAGGGATCTTGATAACCCTGATGGGGTTCCCCCCCCAAAAAAAATGGCGTGGCTTCTTTTGTCCCCCCCCCCCCCCCAGCAAACCATGACGGGCGGGCCGGCGCCCAGCCTCCGGAAGGTCGTTGCAGCTGCAGACCGCGTCCGCGCACTCGCGCAGCCAGGAAGACCACGCCGAAGCCTCCGTTGGCCCGGGCGACGGCGTAAACGGCCTGGGACAGCGGGGGTTCGGGTTGGGGCGATCGATTTTTTCGTGTGTCGCAACCCAAATTGAAACATCCCAAAGGGCACTCTCAAACAAATTCGAAACAAGTGACTTCCGGCAAGCTGAAGTTGAGCCCAGCATAGCCAGTTCAAGGAGAGCCTTGTGCAACACCCTTTGGATCTGCCAACATGCTTATGAACCTCCCTCCTCAAGCCAGCTACTAACGTGGCCAAGGAGTCTGCGGTGGTTTTGGTGGGCATCATTTCTCGGGAGACGTGTGTCATGAGCGAAATCGCACAAGTAATTCTCTGATATGATAGAGGATGCGAGAGGATCCCACAACTAGTTCCCACTTCTGTTGGACTGGGCGGTCCTCAGTTTAGCTTTCAGTGGGTGCAATGTAAACCCCACCACCTTGCACCAACTCAAAAAATCAAAGACCTCAGGAACCCTTTCATTTCAGAATGTAAACCCAACCACCTTTCACCAGCTAGAAAACAACTAAAAACCTGTCTGGAACCGGATGGCCGGGACCTTAACACCACCCCTGCCCTGGAGCTGTAGCCAGGCGGCTCCAGTCGCTCCAAGGCCAAGCGCCAGGTCTGGTGCCGTAGCTCCGCGTAGAACTGGGCCATGTCCCCCCGCAGCCTGCCGTTGCGCCGTTGGGGTCCGGTAGGTGTCCTTTTGGGGCAAATAGATGGCCCTGGTGGATGAAACCACCAGGTAAACCAGGAATCGCCGAACCTACTCTTGAAGCAAACCAACCAAAAAGGACACCTATGAGTCTGGTTTAGGCCTCGAGTGAAAACGGAGACCAATGAAAACACCAGGGATCCGCTTTGAGCTTGGCAAGTTGAAAGCCAAAGGCACCTTAAAGGCCCCAGAGGCTGGCAGTAGAAAGCCAAAATCTGACTGAAACAAGTATGTCTCTGAATGTGGAGCCTCCCCTCGCATGGCTTCGCAAGGGCCAAACGGAAACCAACTACGCGCAGGGATGGACATCCACGTCCCAAGGTTGGGAAGCTTCGTTGGGCTCCTGACTCTTAGGCACGAATGTTGACTCTGGATGCCACTTGTCAGAACCCCCCCAAAATAGATGATGTCCTTGCCGCAAGGGGCGGTTCGAACCCCCTTCGTTTCGGTTCTCCCCGAAGGCCACCTTTAGGGGCTCCGCTTTCTGTGCGACCGACCCGCACTACCTCAGAAGCGGCAAGGAGCGCTCTGAGGGCAAAGAGGTTTCAGCTTCTGGTTCCATGGGCCAAGATGTTCAGCCGAATGACAGAGGCCCCTTGGCTCAAGCACCCGGCCTGAAGAGCAGCTCCTCAGTTCAAGTGATCATGGAAAACAAGGAGCCCCTTTTTTCGGGGAAGACCATTTTTGGTGGGGCAGCCACCCCCCCCAAAAAAAAGAGGGAAAAAGGGTGCCGCTGTGCAACTGCGGCTCTTCTGCCCTCACGGGCCACAGCAAGGCGGAGAGCACGACATAGGATCGCATGGCAGGCCCAGGCCATCCCGCGAGCGGGCCACATGAACCAGAATATGGGCATGTGTTCACATACGGGGACCCCCAAATCGAGTGGTTTTTGTTTTGGCTGCAGGATAACAGCAAGCAAAAGAAAGGTACTCTCAAAAAAACATAGATCCATACGGTGATGGAAGCAAATCTGGTCGCTCAGCTCACCATGCCGTGCACTCATGTGTCTTCGGCAGCAGCCCTTGACTGGGAAAGCCGTCACGATAGCTTGAGAAGGAGTCGTGGCCAGGTGGCCAGGTGGCAAGGTCTTTTAACCCTTGCTACCAAACATGTTTGAATCACTTAGCTTCAGCATTCTTAGTAGCCTCACAAGTCCTCCGGCGAGGGTGCAACTTCAACCTGATTTTGATTGGAGCCCGGGGGCTCTTTCGGCCTCCCTCTCATTTGGTTTGGTGAGAAGTAGTTTCCCATGAACTTCTACCAAAACCCGCGCAAAAACCAATCCAAGCCACCCAGGGGCAAGCTGCCAGAGTCTCTCTCTCTCTCTCTTTCGCGACAGCTCGAGTGTGGCTGGGATCGAACCCTACGGCAACCAACAGCTTTCGCCGCGGAGCGCGGGGGAATGTCACTCAAATTGAGGGCCCCTGGATGCTTCTTGTTTTGTTTACATAAATACATATTATCTATATATGCAAATAGATTGCTTCATCCATTTAATGGGGGAACCAAGAGCAATACTTTGGAAAGCACCCGGGCCCCCAATGATTTCGGACCCAAACGACTCCAAGTGCCTCCTCTCTCTGGACTCGGAAAAGGGTGGCGCACTCTTCCCGGACACCAATGAGCACCCCAGCCTGGCCAAGTGGAAGCTGTTCCATCGCTCCGGGGGTTCTCATGTGTTTGGAAGAGGACGCAGCACAATCCCCTTCAAGCGATGGCACTGTGCATGCGCAGAAGCGGTGTCTGACAAAAGCCACGATGTTGCTCCCCTCGCAAGTGAGGGGGTGAGACCATGAAGCCTTTCTTTCGCACCACCCGTGTCAAATATCAGAAAGCTTGATTCCCTTTGCAGGCTTCATGCTGGAGTGAGCGCCATCCTTCCAGACGACTCTCGGCTCCGCGCTCAAGACTGCCAAGGCCAGAACCAAGCCGATTTCAACATGCTGCCCACCTGGTGAGCTTTAGCTTCTCGCGATCCAAGGATTCTTGGCCCAGGATGTCACTCCCCCAATGCATCTTAAGCCCCAAAAAAGCGAGCAACACATCAAACCCCTCGAGGTCTTCCGCCGGCTCTCGGCATGGCATGGCCCAAGCTCTCTGATGGAGAGGGCCCTGCCGCCCTGAGACCTAAAACCGCGCCAGTGCGTTGCACAGGCGATCGATGGTCGCTTGTGGACCGTTTGGGGGCATACTCTGCCCGTTCTGCTCGCATGTGGCACCATTTTTCCTACAGAAAAAACAAACCTTGGTTGCTGCTGACCCCCCTGCAAAAAGTTGAACTTTTGGGGCAGTCAAGGAACCATCCAAACATACGAGCACAACTCCTCGCTGTGGCAGACCGCTCATTGCAGTGCGGCCCCAGTGGCAAAACCCCTCTCAGGCTAAGCAACGCGGGTGCGAGGGCGTCCTGCGAGCCAAGCTGGGTCGATGTCTTCATGTATTAAAAACACACCAAACTTGCATAAAAACAAGGGTACCTCCTTTCAACTTGAGGGGGGTTTCCTTTAGAATTTGCCTATGAAGAGCAGGAGAAAGGGTCCAACGCGGAAAAAGATGAGTCAGCTCTAGGTGGTGATGTCCGGTTTCGCCACGAAAATCCCGCCTCTTGGAGGACTTAGTACCGGCACACCTCGATGTCGAGCCTTTCGCCCTGAACCTCGAGTAATTTGCAACAAAAAGCTTGCCGGTGCTCAGGTAGGGATGACCCTGAATTAAAGAAACACAGCGGATGTTTTTGTTTGGCTGTTATTCATGCTGAGAAAAAGTAGAGGGCAAACACGGCCTGAGGAGAACAAATGTATGCTGGAGAATTCTACCCTCCACGCCACACAACAAAAAAAGGAGGATCCGTCATGCACATGTCGGAATTCCTGTCCAACCATTTTGCAGGTGTCCCTTAAAACCCTGTCGTTTTGTACAAAAAACACCATAACCCTTGCACATTGGCTCACCTGCCCGTAAACCGAAGTGGACACGTGGCGGCGGCTTTCGAGCTGCAACTCCTTTCCGCTGGGTGCGTGGCAGCAGCCATTTTCATCTTTGCCATCAGCTCCGCCGGGTCTCACGGGGTGAGGAGTCCAAAATGGCTTTCTACGTTTGGAGAGGCGCCCTTGGTTTGGTTTAAGGCAATGCCAACTTTGGGATCCCCTGTATTTTGACACATGCCCAAATGCCCGGGAAATATGGGACTTCAAATAATGTCCCCGCCAAGTTCCTCGACCGAATGGCTGCTTTTGGGACCCGTTTCAAAATTTTAGTGCTAATTGGCAGAACAGTTATAATTGAACTCCGGAAACTGCCCAATTGCACCAATGGAGTTGGGCGGAGGCAGTTTGGGGAATCCCTCTGAGGCCTAGGCTGCCTTGGGAGCCGTTGACAGTGATGACTCGGTCCCGCCGCTTGATGCCCATGCCTTGCCGCTTGCTCTGCTGACTGGCGCTCACTTGCGGTACCGATGGCCCCCGGAAGGCCAGCCGATGTCTTGGCCCATCGACCCCATAGCTTTCGGCCGGGGAATGAAACCGGAAACGCCACGTGTCACGCAACCGGAGACCGGAAACGCCTCGATGAGACAAGTTCCAGTCCTTGATCAAGCCAGGGTTGACCTCGGTCACAGCTCCCTGGGCTCCATTTACACCACTTCACTCGATGGTTTCCACTGATGACACCAGATTAATAAGCCAACCTGGTTGGCTCATATGGAGTGTCCCCTTTTAGTGGGGACTCACCCCCCTATTAGTAGGATGGGCTTATGAATCCGGGCCCAACAGTATGCCTATCCATCAAGCCCCTCAAGGTGTTTTTGGGGAAATGGACACCATCTCAGACTCAAATCGGCGCCCGGCAGTCTTCACAAGTAGACTTGTGCCTCGCGCGAGTCTACGAAACCAGACACTTCAGGCCTGACACACGTGAGACACGGTCAAAGTATGCGGTGCCCATACAGCACATGGGACATTTTGTGGATCCCCGTAGATGTTTCGTGACATCTAATGGTCAAATGTCTCCTGAACTTGCCATAGACTACTGGATGTGTGATCATATCGCACATCAAAAGCTAATCAGTCCGCAGTGAGAGCACACTGAGATGCCAGCCGTTAGGAGCGTGTTCAACCTGCAATCCAAGCCTGAAAATCGAAGCAGCGCTCTTCCGCACACTTTGCGCACGTAAGAAAACCAATCGCTAATGGCATCGCTGAGACTCTGACGGCGCGTATGCTCTTGCAATGCTGATGGTGAAGGACTGGGCAGCATCGCGAGTGCGTGCGCACTTAATATAGTTTTATGAGGTTTTTTGAAGTCTGATATGTACGTGATGCGCCCATGGCCAGGTGCATACGCTCTTTCTTTGTCTGGCTGAAGTGCAGCCGAGGCCGGCACAATGGGGCGTTTGATTGTGAGGATCAACTCCTCAGATGGCCGGAAGCGGCCACACTTCGCTGAACCTGCCTTTGCCTTTCGGGAGATGGTCTGGAGAATTGTCTCCCCCGAATCGCATCTGGCCCTGAATCGCAACCATGCGGCAGTGTCGACCTTGAGATGTTCCAGCAATCCCTGGCACGAAGTCACTTCCATGCTCCAAAATCAAGCATTGCACACGATGCCACTCGATGCCACGCCAAATGCATGCTGAAAACGCCTCTATCTCTTGGATAGGCTGGGCGATCGAATGTACCAATCAAAGGCTGCCTGGAAATGGAGAAGATCTCCACTTGTTTCTCCCGACACGCCAAATATATCGCATCTGGAGTGGGCAACGCCCAACAAACATGCAGATGCATTCCCAAGATCATTTGTGTGAATGTGTGCATCTCCATGTTCACTGAGAGAATGTGCCACATGAGCGAAGGGACTGTGACTGCAAGGCCACCATTTTGGGGCCCGCTGGTGATAATCTAGACGTGTCTTGAGTTCTTCCATGGACTATAACCCAGGGTTGGTCAATGTCCCTAAGGTGATCCAATTCTATCCGATTCTTGGATATCTGCGTCTAGCTTGGGGTACTCCTCACCCTGACACATATCTCGACCGAATCGCACGGGCGCCTGCGAACTACCCCGAGCTCCGTTCACTTCCACGATGCTGTCGCCGCACCTGAGAAAACGGGGCGAAAGACCCAGCCAATGCCTCCGCGCCCCAAGGGAGATTTGCATCTTAGGATTTGCTTTTTGGGTACTTCGAGGATTTTGTGGCACGTTGAGGATTTGGGGCTTCGGGCTTGTGGGGCTTGTCCTTCCAACGTTGCCGTGTCGCGCGCTGCTTCTCTCCGAATGCTGATGTCACTCAGGCCTTTTTTGCTGGCAGAGTCGTCGGAGCACGCTCTTGTGCGTGCGCTTCGTCTCCACCACGGGGGTTTGAGCCCAGTCTCACGTCATCTTGTAGCGGTACCAGTTTCGCAGGCGTTCAGGGCTCGCGCCGAGATACCAAGCTACGATGATGCAGCTGTTCCTTAGTTCGGATATTTTGGATGGCCATGCCTTGACCCTGTCACTTAGGGGGAGCCCATGGTATAACAATGATGGCTCCAAAACACACAGAAGTTGCCAGGCCACAACCATGGATGTGGGTGAGGGGCGTCCACAGGACGGTTGCATCCCCTCTGCCACTTTAAGCAGACAAGCACGATCATCCTAGCATGACCTGCTCACTCATACCGGGGCGGGGCACTTTCTTGGCCACGAATTCCAGGCCATCGACTTGAAAAGAGAATCATTATGTGCCCAAAAGCCTGCTTATCTTCAGGGTATGACGCCAACCCTGTCAAAGCAAAGGATTTACCATAGGGAACTGCGCTCCAAACCGACCTTTGGCCGCCAACCCGGCCAATCCCCCATCCCAGGTGCAGCAGCTGCTGCTTGATTGGCCCCACCTGGGTTCGGGGCAAGGGCCTCCCCCGAGTTGCAAGTGACCCGAAAGGTAGACAAAGACTTGGAACTCAGTCAGTCAGTCAGTCAGTCAGCCAGTCAGTCAGTCAGTCAGTCAGTCAGCCTGTCAGTGAGTCAGTCAGTCAGTCAGTCAGCCAGCCTGTCAGTCAGTCAGTCAGCCTGTCAGTCAGTCAGTCAGTCCGCCAAGTCCGCCAGCCTGTCAGTCCGTCTGTCAGTCAGTCAGCCTGTCAGTGAGTCAGTCAGCCTGTCAGTCAGTCAGTCAGCCTGTCAGTCAGTCAGTCAGTCAGTCAGCCTGTCAGTCAGTCAGTCAGTCAGCCAGTCAGTCAGTCAGTCAGTCAGCCTGTCAGTCAGTCAGTCAGCCAGCCTGTCAGTCAGTCAGTCAGTCAGCCAGCCTGTCAGTCAGTCAGTCAGTCAGCCAGCCTGTCAGTCAGTCAGTCAGTCAGCCTGTCTGTCAGTCAGTCAGTCAGCCAGTCAGTCAGTCAGTCAGTCAGCCTGTCAGCCAGCCTGTCAGTCAGTCAGATCAGCCTGTCAGTCAGTCAGTCAGCCTGTCAGCCAGTCGTCAGTCAGCGTCAGTCAGTCAGTCAGCAGTCATCGTCAGCCTGTCAGTCATCGTCAGTCAGCCTGTCAGTCAGTCATCGTCAGCCAGCCTGTCAGTCAGTCAGTCAGTCAGCCAGCCTGTCAGTCAGTCAGTCAGTCAGCCAGCCTGTCATCATCCAGTCGTCAGTCAGTCAGCCTGTCGTCAGTCAGTCAGTCAGCAGCCTGTCAGTCAGTCAGTCCAGTCAGTCACAGCCTGTGTCAGTCAGTCAGCCAGCCTAGTCAGTCAGTCAGTCCAGTATCAGTAGCTGCTCAACGGGATTGAATGTGGCTCCTTTTTTCGATCGATCGATCGATCAGCCTGTCGATCAGCCAGTCGGCGCATCGATCAGTCAGTAGCATCAGCCAGCCCAGCATCGATCGGTCGATCGATCAGCCAACATCGATCGATCGATCAGCCGCGTCCAGCCAGCCCAGCATCGATCGATCGATCGATCAATAGCAACATCGATCCGATCGATCGATCGACCTTGTCGATCGATCAAGTCGGCGCGGCTCCAGTCGATCGATCGATCAGCCAACCTTGTCGATCGATCGATCGATCAGCCAGCCTGTCGATCGATCAGTCGATCGATCGATCGGCCTTGTCGATCGATCGATCAGCCAGCCATCGATCGATCGATCGATCGATCGATCGATCGATCCAGTCGATCAGCCCAGCATCGATCGATCGATCCGTTCGATCGGCCGTCGATGATCAGCCAATCGTGCATCGATCATCATCAGTCGATCGATCGATCGATCAGCCAATGTGATCAAGTCGATCAGCCAGCCTGTCGATCGATCGATCGATCGATCAGTCAGTCAGCCGCGTGCGCGTCGATCGATCAGCCAGCCTGTCGATCGATCGATCAGTCGATGCGTCAGCCTTGTCGATCGATCCGATCGATCAGTCGATCAGCCAGCCTTGTCAGTCGGTCGATCGATCGATCCAGTCAGCCAACGTCTTGTGGTCAGCCAGCCAGCACCGATCGATCGATCATTCGATCGATCGCATCGATCGATTGGGGGGGCAGCCAGCCCGTCGATCGGTGATCGATCGATCGATCAGCCGTCGCCGTCCTGAGGTCAGCCAGCCTTGTCGATCGATCGATCAGTCGATCAGCCAGCCGTCGTCGATCGATCAGTCGATCAGCCAGCCTTGTCGATCGATCAGTCAGTCGATCAGCCAGCGTGGCATCAGTCGATCGATCAGCCATGTCAAACTTCATTGCTGTCGATCAGTCGATCAGTCAGCCGCATCAGTCGATCAGTCGGCCACCAGTCCGGCCAGCCTGTCGGATCAGTCGATCAGTCGGCCACTCGGGAAATCGATCAGTCAAACAAATACATACGCCTTGTCAGTCAGTCAGTCAGCCTGTCAGTCAGTCAGTCAGTCAGCCAGCCTGTCAGTCAGTCAGTCAGTCAGCCAGCCTGTCAGTCAGTCAGTCAGTCAGTCAGCCTGTCAGTCAGTCAGTCAGCCAGCCTGTCAGTCAGTCAGTCAGTCAGTCAGCCAGCCTGTCAGTCAGTCAGTCAGTCAGCCAGCCTGTCAGTCAGTCAGTCAGTCAGTCAGCCAGCCTGTCAGTCAGTCAGTCAGTCAGTCAGTCAGCCAGCCTGTCAGTCAGTCAGTCAGTCAGTCAGTCAGCCTGTCTGTCAGTCAGCCAGCCAGCCTGTCAGTCAGTCAGTCAGTCAGTCAGTCAGTCAGTCAGTCCAGCGGGCCAGCCAGTCCGTCAGCCAGTCCAGGACATCCGTCCGTAATTACGCAACTGGGGCAACAAATCGCAGCTGTTCTTGGCTGTTCTGGATGAAAGGGGCACTGCCGGACCGGGATGGACCTCTCTGTCCCTTGCCCCCAGACAAGTATTGAAATAACCGGCTGGGTGCCAAAATGAACCATCCCGGTTTTCGCTCTGTTCTCTTCTCTTGGCGTTTCAACGGCCCAAGGAAGCAGCACCTCCAACATGCGCCGCGCCGAGGTGGTCACCGCCAGCGGCACAAAGCTGAAGGACCGGCGGCTTTGCCGCGCCAAGCGCATGACCTGATGCGAAGGGGGAGAGGTACCGAGACTTGGGGTCGATTTGGCACAAAAAGTAGTTGATGTCGCAACCAGCCACGGTACAGGAACCTGTTCAAGGCGACCATTGACTGTTGGCTCTACTAACATGATTGTAAAAGATCGCAAAGCCCGCAGCCCCCTCGCATACCAAAAAAACAACCAAACAGACAAAAAAACAGCCAGGCCATTTTGCCATTGTTTAGGCCGCTTTTTGGTCGAATTTTGCTGGTACCAAAACGCGCCATACTGTGGATGCACAAAATCCAGCGCCTACCGACTGGTGGGAAGTTGATGTTGCAACCATCCACACTGAAGCCTTTTGAAGGCGACTCAGGCGACTTTTGGTTCTACTAACATTGTTGTAAAGGTTTGTATAACCCTTAGACAACCCCATGAAATCGAATATAGAACCACCTAAAGTGGCCAACAGGGGTTCTGGTCAGGTGAGCTTGGCTGGCAGCAGAAACCTGGGGCTCCAGCCAAATCCACATCCTCCAAGATGGGCCATTCACTGGCGGAGGCACGGGTCGACCAAAACCAAGGGATGAATCAAGAGAGCTGCGCCCAGCTCTGGCTGGCTTCTCCCTAACCTTCATACCTTGTTGGCTGTGGCAGTGTCCAAAGTTGGTGCTTGACCTGGGACAGCTTGTCGGAAGCTAAAACGAAGATAGTTACTTTGTTTTAGCTCAACCATGCCGCCCACAACCCAGCTGAACGGGCTAGAAGAACAGCTTTCACCCTCGAGGGCGGTGGCCTTTTGATCATTCGCAGGGATGCCTTCTTCATGGCGACTCTCTTTTTTATGTGTTTGCTTTCTTTTGGGGGCAGGGAGGTTCAGACAAGCCTAGCAAGTTCTCAAATTCCGGTCCCAGATCAGACTTCCAACTTCCCCAACGTAGCCTGTGCCCAGTGTCAAGAGACCTTACATCCCCCGTTTACGGATATGATCTATTTTAGGGACCTGGTTCCTTTGACTCGGGTCCTCATTCATCCGAAGCGTCCACGAATCCACAATGGTTTTCCTTTTGCTTGTCTTTCAAACCAGCCCAAGAACGGGTAGCGAGCCTCACAAACTGCTTGACAACCCACCAACAAGGTGGATGCCCCAAAGAAAACAAATCACAACTCGCCACACGAAGACAATGCCAACAAAAACGGCAAATCTAGAGGGCTTCAACTTGTTGTTCTTGCCATTTAAATGATATTTGTTGGTTCGTATCTGGATAGAGAAGCATCCAACTAGGGGGACCCAGTTTCTTTCAATTGCTGAAGTCGTCTGTAAAAAACAAAACCACATGTCCAGTAATGAAATAGTTTCACGTCTTAAAACCAACTGGGGAAATAACACATGTTCTTATACTCACTTGCCCAAAGACCTGGAAAAACGATTACCTTTTGTCACCTTGACTACATATCGACCAAACAGGAAAACGATGGAAAACCAAAAAAGTCATTTCAGGTCGATTAGCTTTGGGCAGCTAAGTTATTCAGCACATGAGACGAACCTACTGCACCTTCTGCGAAAAATAGATGGCCCTGGTGAATGAGAAAAAAAACATAAACCAGGGGAAGCCATCTATTTCTAATCAAGCTACCCTTCTGTCCACCAACATGGAACCCACCACAGGGTCCCACTTGCAAACCGAACCGTCAGATTCCATGGGAATTCTGTGGGGGCAGGACATCTATCAGCTTCCCTCCAATTGGTTTGGAGCCCGGTGGTTTGCATCAGGAAGCACGGGTTCAAATCTCAAACAAGCGTGCTCCAAACCACCAAGGCTCACCTAAATATGGGGGGGGGGTCTGTTTTTTGAACCCCCCCCTTGTTGTGTGGCTTTAAAGGCAAACCGGAAGAGAACCCGGCCAATAGAAGGGGAATCGGGCTGCGGGCTATGAATGCGCTCCGCCCAAGGCGCGTGCCGCGCGCCTGTAGCCCTGCAGCTCTTCGAAGGCGCTCCGCCGCACGAAGATGCCCCGGTCCCCAAAGACCAGGCGGCTGGAGCGGCAGCACTGCACCCGGGTGCTCCAACCTGCGGAAAGCGGGAGGTGAAAGGAATGTTCAGAGGGGAACCTGCCCGCTGCCCCCCCCCCCAAAAAAAACACAAAAAACAAAAACAACAACAAGACAAAACAGGTGGTGGACATAAACTTTAGCACCATGAACTTCAAGAAGTGGAATCCTTCTAAACATCAAAGGTGAAAGGACACAAGTGCCAATGGATGGCTCCTTTACCTATTGCAAAGCGATGGTTGCACAATCCACGCGTGATTTGTTTCCCATTTTTCTTTCGGCGCTTGTTGATTTGATAGAGGTATTGATTGGCTTGTGATTGAGGTGCTTCTTGTGTGAAAGGAATGGGTCCCGTTGCAAGCGAAACCGGGTATTTAGGGTTTAGGGTTGTTGGGCTTTTTTCAGGGTTGAGGCTCTTAGGGTTGAGTGCTTTAGGATTCAGGGTGCTTAGGGTTTGAGGTGTAGGGCTTCCAGGGCTAATAACCTTTCTGGTGTTGGGTTTTTAGTTCAAAGAGCTCAGGGTTGAAGAATTTCAGGGTGAATCAGCTTCCCTCTTGGTGGTTTGGAGCCCGGCAGTTGCAGTTTGGTGGTTACGGGGGCGGTTTTCCATTTACCCATTTACCCTCTACAAATTCCCAATCCGCCAATCTAACGGGCAGCTGAGTTTACGGGGCAAGATTTCACTGCTTCCCAGGTGCAGCGCAGCGACCCTAATTCACAATCCCGTTTCCTGTGCCAAGATTCGATCCTCCCCCAAAGTCCCTGGAAAACAACAAGTTGGCCTTTTGGGATCTTGAGGGAAAACTGGTCGCCAACATGGACCCGGTCAAATCCGGTCAACTCGCTATGGGCAACTGAGCAAAGGATCAAGTGCGAAAACCGTGGGGTCAGATCTGCCCTGATCAACCCACGGCTTGGCTTGGTAATCAGGCTCAGGAATTCTCCCTAAAAGAAAGGAATCCCTGCCTGCAAATGGGTCCTCTTAATACTAAGTTGGGGGATTGTTCATCAGGGGTCAACATTAGACGTGTTCAGCAAGAAAGCAAGCAAGCCAGCAAGCAAGCAAGCACGCAAGCCAGCAGAGCAAGCAAGCAAAACAAGCAAAGCAGCGCAAAGCAACGCAAGCAAGCAAGTTACCAACCGAGCTACCAAATAACAAAACAACCAACCATCCAAAATTGGATGCCAATTATGACATGGGACTGTCCTTTTGGGAACCCTCTTTTGGCTAGTTTTAAAGCGAAATCAAAAGGACGACCACCATTTGGCCCCCACCCCCAAAAAAAAAAGATCAGAAAAAGAGAACGAATAACATAAATTAAAATGGCACACCCACATCCAGCCATCTGCGAGGCGCTCCAAAGCTGCAGTGTGCGGCTCTCAGCTTCTTCCGCAAAGCGCAGCTCGAAACATCCCCCCAGCACCTCCGGATCGCAGAGCGCAGCCTGCGGCAAGTTCAGGATGGAGGCCGAAGGGCTGGTCCGTTGGACGGTGTTTGTGACAATCTACTTGCGTGGTTTTGGTATCCATTCAAGGTACCAGGGGTGTAACGGTTATGACTCATGTCTCTCTAGAGGGCACTCAAAAATGGTTGTCTTCATTTCAGCGTACCGCCAAAACAAAACACACCTTCCCCCCTTCTCGGCCCCCCCCCCCTCCCGCACAACTTGCACCGCCTGAACTGCTTCCAGAGCGCCCTCTGGAAGCTCCGTATCCGCATGGAGGAACAAAAGCACCGGCGCCTGGACCACCGCATCACGATCTTTGAGCCTTCTGTGGGGACCATGACTCACCATGCGGGTACCCGTGTGCAGCGGAGCCTTTGGACATCGGCCCTTCCCAATAGAATGCATAGACGCATCTGAGACGCAAACAGCCGTTGCCAACTACCGGAATTTTCGGTCGAATAAACATGATTGGGTTTAGATAGCCATCCGAGGGTACTTGACACTTACTAGAATCCCCAGAAGAACTTCCTACCGAAACCTGCATCTGCTTAAGTTCCCTGAAGAAGAAAAAACAAAACAATATGTCCAGTAGCCATAGCTTCCCCCTAAAGCCCCTTTAAAGCCAACAAGGGGAAAACACACATAGTGAGATCCCAATGCTTTTTCTCACAGGCCGTGTCTCCAGCTTCAAATCTGGCACCAAAATGGTCGAGGAGAGCGTCAAAGCGTTGGGGCCTTGAATTGTCCCTTCGGCCTTCCCATAGCTTGGGATCTGACCTGCCCCTTCACCAGTATTCACAGTTCATTCCAATGTCATTCTCATTGTCTCACTCTCATGATTCATATCAAGTT